AAAAAAAAAAGAGTAATATACTTCACACACGTCCATGGGCATAAACGGATCTTAAAAATGACCAAGCAGAAAGAACAGGCCACACAAGATAGATGCAACATAATTTCATTTGTTTACCTTTCAGATCAGATAAAGCTAAACTACATGTTACCTAGGGGTACATATGAAAAAGAAAAAAATCACAAAAGAGCAGAAGGATTTTTACATAATTCAGGACAGTCGCTACCTCTAGGAGGGATGGAGGAAATGAACAGAGAATYGCTCAATTTGGAAGGATTCTAAGCTGGTGTTCTAGTTCTCAGTCCAAGCTGTGGCTGCACAAGTGTTCACCTGACAATCATTCACTGAGCTGTACACATGCTTCACAATTTCTTTTGAATATGCATAATGTTTTTCCTAATGCAAAATTTTAAAAGTAAGAGCAGTGAATCACAACAAAAGATAATGCCCCTGGTCAGAGAAAAGGGTGGAATGGATTTCAGGTGGAGCATACCATAAATTTAGAAGTAATAGTAATGTCCCATTTCTAAAACTAGATATTCACAAATATTTGTCGTGTGGATATTCTGAATATGCTACATGTAATTCATAATGAATTGAAATGTTGATATGTAACAAGTAGTTAAGAAACCTCATGAAGAACAGCTAGGTACTATATTAGCATGGTATTGTGTGAACATGTGTATTCATATATTAGTGAGTTGTTACTCTAATATGACCTTGAGAACTAGTGTGGGAACCTTCCATCACTGTTAGCATGATAAAATGAATTTAGAAGTTTTAATAACTTGGTTGCATCTTCTAAACATCTCTTACAAGCAGAGTAGCCTACACACAGGGGGATGAAACAAATTCCTGGGCTTGATCTCAGAGAAGTGCCCCTGTTGTGTCCTCTCAGAGGCTACAGAGGCAGCGGGTGGGACCCAGGACTCAGACTCTCTCTCCACAGCCACAAGAGACTCTGGTTCCTGGATGGAGCCCTATTTCTCCCCTTGACCCTCATGAATGTTTGGAGCTGGTAAGCACCTCACACTGCTGACCCCGTGGCCTGACAATAGTCAATCTGTAAAGTAACTATTAACTGCTGCAACGTGAATAATCACCCAGATTACTTTAACTTTATTCTGGAAGATTTATAGTTTTCTTACCTCTGTCTTCCAAGTTCTGCAGCTTATGTTTGAAGGTAGTATTTTCCATTAACGACTCGTGGTTCACAGTCTAAAATGCAAACAAAAAAAAATGTGTGTATATACTTATATATGACATGTATAAAATTGCAAAGAAATAGTGCCACACTATCCCTTAAAAAATAATAAGAAATGTATTTGCATAACATACTGGCTAATTCTAGAAAAGCAGATGAATAACTGAATGGTACCTGAGATATGTTTTCTTCAACTTCTGAGTGCTCTGGGGAAGAGAGATCACTCAGCGGGTGGGGACTTGGAAGTTCTAAGTATTAGAGAAAACAGCTTCAAGTGAATAAACAATTAAAGATAAATAACATCTCACTATTACTCTATATTAAATGACAATATAAAAAAGATGGGTATGCAGTCCTAGATAAAATAATGTTTGCATTTTTCAGGGCACGTATGTTAGGAGGTTTTTAGATCACTGTAGATAAGATGAAGAGTCCAGGACCTCAACTAGATCACACTTCATTAGCTGCCCATCTGGCCCCCAATATGGGCAAGGAGTCTATCACCTCACCCTTGAGATTCTTCTCTTCCTTTGCTTGCCTCCCTTACTTGCTCCTTACCTCTTGGGTGCAATGATTTGACATCTACACTGAGCAATGGCTATCACACTTAACACCTCCGCCACCACCTATGCTGCACATTCCGTCTGTAGAACTTTTTCATCTCACGGCTTCAAGGTTGTATGTTTAGATCAGCATCTTCCCATTTCCCCCACCCCCATGGCAACAACCATCTTACTCTGATTTTATGAGTTTGACTTTTGTAGATTCCACACATAAATGAGCCAGACAAATGAATGCTGTGTGATCTAACTTAACTCAGCATAATGTCCTTCAACTTCATCCGTGTTGTCACAAATGGTGGAATTTCTTCCTCCTTTGTGGAATGGGATGATACTCCATGATGTATCTATACCACATTTTTTTCCTTCCATTTATCCATTTACAGATGTTTGGGTGGTTTCCATATCTTGGCTACTATGAATAACGGTGCAGCCAACATGAAAGTGCAGCTATCTCTTTGGCATACTTATGTCATTTCCTTTGGATACCCACAACTGGAATTCCTGGATCATACCAATTCACATTCCCACCACCAGTGTACTGAGGGTTTCCATCTCTACATTTGCCAACACTTGTTACCTCTCGTCTTTTTGATAGTAGCCATCCTCAAACATGAAATGATAGCTAATTGTGGTTTTCAAATCTGTCAGTCATTTGTATGTCTTCTTTGGGAAAGTGTTTAAGCATTTTGCCTTTCTACCTTTTTTTCTATTTAGTTACTTCTGTATTTTAAAAATTATTTTCTACATTCTGTTGGTTGATTCCTTTGAAGTTTTTTGCAGTACCATTTATTTCTGCTTTTGTTGGCGATATTAAAATCACTGCCAAGACTGAGGTAAAGGAGCCATTTCTCTTTAAAGTCTACAATATTGAAGTCTATCATCCATTTTAATAGTTCAAATGGTATGAGGGGTTCGATTCACTCTTTTGTATATTGATGTCCAATTTTTCCAGCACCATTTATTGAAGAAACTTTCCTCATTGTGTATTCTCTGTACTGTTGTCAAAGATTAGGTGACTGTGTATGCATGGGTTTCTTATTGAACTGTTCTCTTACCATTGGTCTGCAGGTCTGTGTTCACGCCAGTTTTGAGTAACATAGCTTTGTAACAGTTTGACACCAGGGAGTGTGATTCTTCCAGGTTTATTCCTCTTTCTCGAGATTGCTTTAGTCCTAGTCCTGATTCCATGCCTAGTCCATGACAGGTCCTTTGCTACTGCATACAAATTTTGGGATTTTTATTTTTTGGTAAAAAAAAATGCCATTGGAGTTTTGATAAGGATTACTTGGCCTCTGTAGATTGTGGATGGTATAGACATTTTAGTATTAATTCTTCCAAGGGCTGGGGTTATAGCTCAGTAGTGGAGCGCTTGCCTTGCACATGTGAGGCACTGGGTTTGATCCTCAGCACTACATTCAAATAAATTAAAAGTATTGTGTCCATCTACAACTAAAAGTGTTTAAAATAATTAATTCTTCCAATCCATAAACATGAGAGATCTTTCCATTTGTGTTGATTTATCAATGTCTTCTATACTTCCATATACAGGTCTTTCACCTACTTGTTTTCATTACTGTTTTATTTCTTTTGATGCTACTAAAATGGGATAATTTTCTTGATTCATTTTCCAGATAATTTATTACTAGAATATAGAACAGACTAAAGTTCATTAGCATAATTATATAATAATGGGGTTAGTGTATCTTCATACATGGGTACAGCATGCCCTGATCAAACCGAAATATTCTTTTTCTACCTTACCCCCCAACATGAACCCTTGCCAATCCCTAGTAGTCACTATTCTACTTGCAGATTGACATTTTTAACTTCCCCACATGAGAACCTATAGTACTGTCCGCATCCGGCTCATTTCGTTGAACATAAGTTCCTCCAGTTCTGTTTTGTTCCAAAGGACAGGATTTCATTTTTCTGCATGAGTAAATACCATGGTGTATACATACCACTATTTATCTGTTGAGGAAGACTCGGGCTAATTTCTTAATTACTATGAACAGTGTCACAACAAACATGGGCATGCAGGTACCTCTTTGGTAAGTTGATTTCATTTCCTTTGGATATATTCCCAGGAGTGGCAGAGCTGGATCATATAGTAGATCTATTTTTAATTTTTGGAGGAATCCTCATACTGCTTCTCCACAGTGGCTGTACCTAGTTACATTCCCATCACCATATAAGCACATACAAGTTACTTCTCCACCTCCTCACTGTAATTTTGTATATAAACATGGTGTATATACACATTTGTTATGTATGTACATATAAATACACAAGCATTCTAACTCAGGAAAGATGGTTCCTCATTTTGATTTGCATTTCCTTGATGGTTAATGATGGACATTTTTTTCCACCTATTTGTTGTCTAATTGTATTTCTTCCTTGGATAAGTGTCTATTCATATTCTTTGACCATTTTTAAACTAAATTATTTTTAYGTTTTTGAGTTCTTTAGATGTCCTGAACAAAACCCTCTGTCAAAGGAATAACTGGTCAACATTTTCTTCCATCCTGTGGGGTTGTCTCCTATATTAACTTTTCTGTGCTGAAGCATTTTAGTTTGAAGTAATCCTATTTATCAGTTTTTTTGTTTTGTTTTGCTTTGGCTTCCGGGGTCTAGCCAGAAAATTTTTGCCTGTCCCTAGGTGTCCATCAACAGATGAAAAATGTAAAAAAAAATGTGCTATATGTATACAATGGAGTTTTATTCAGCCATAAAGAAAAATTAAATAATAGCATTTGTAGGAAAATGGATGGAATGGGAAAGTATGGTGTTAAGCTGAATAATACAGATTCAGAAAAAAACAAGTGTCATGATGTTTTCTCTCATTTGTGAAAGTTAGAGGGAAAAGAAAAAAATGGGTCTCATGAAAGTAGAAGGGAAACCACTAGAATAGAGGTAGGGAGCATGGGGGAAAGAGAAGGTAAGGGCAAGAGGACGTACTGGAAAGTGAAATTGATCGAACCATAKTATATGTATGTACGAACATGCCTCAGTAAACTCACTATTCTGTATAAATAATATGCACCAATAAACCTTCATAAAATAATAATTATTCAGCTACATAATAGTTAAAAAAAAGGTGTAGACCCCAAGGGCATGCTCTTCCCTTGACCTACTTCCTTCAACAACACCCCACCTGCCTACAGTTACCACCCAGAAGTCCACTCAAATTTTACCCCTCTCAAATGAAATAATCCACTTATGAGGTTTCATCTCTCATCATTGCCTAAAAGCTCACCTCTGAACCTCACTGCACTAAAATCAGGCTTTCAAAACATGAACTATGGGAAGACATTCCTTCACCCAACCCATGACAGGTAACTATATCAAGAATCAGCTGGATGGGCTGGGGATGTGGCTCAAGTGGTAGTGCGCTTGCCTGGCATGCGTGCGGCCCGGGTTCGATCCTCAGCACCACATACAAACAAAGATGTTGTGTCTGCCGATAACTAAAAAATAAACATTAAAAGAATCTCTCTCTCTCTCTCTCTCTCTCTCTCTCTCTCTCTCTCCCTCTCTCTTTAAAAAAAAAAGAATCAGCTGGCTATAGATGCATAGATTTATTTCTGGGGTCTCCGTTTTCCACTGTGTCTATTTTCATGCCAATGTCATTTTTTGATTACCTTGCTCTGTACTATGTCTTGAAATGAGGTACTTGATGTCATCAGCTTTGCTCTTTTGCTCAAGATTGCTTTGGTTACATCCACCACTACCGTGATGCCATCTGCCACAATGTAGCCAAGGAGTCCAAACCAGCGGAGCTGTCTGATCTCAGGCTTTCATCCTCCAAAAAAGACACTGGCAGAGGATGAACTGATGACCAGGCTTCAGAAATCAAAGAGAACAGGGAAGTTCATGGCCCAGTTTCAGAGCCTTGATGCCAAAGCAGCTGCTTCTGGATCACAGCCAAAGGGGCTTCAGGAGACGGATCTCTCTCACCTTCAGAAGAGGGTTCTAACTTTAGGATCTCAAGTCTCAAAATGAAGATTTTTCATACCATAAAACCAAATTAATAACAAATGTAGCATACAGTTTCATTCTTCACAAGAAAACACATGGAATCTATTTTTGCTGGAAACGAAGGAGTTAACAATAAGAAAGAAGCAAACCAGGTTTGATGCACTCAAAGAAAAAGTTGTGAACCTCATTGTCTAGCGAGTGAATACCTTCTGCCTCCTAAGACGCAAGGAGGTGTACTTCAGTGCTCCCCACATGAACATTAAATGCTGCTGCTCCAGTATCACACCTTCCACACAGCACTCAGCAACCCTTATTGTTATTTAAGGAACAAAACACTGAAAAGGGAAGACGACTGGATTCCAAACACTGCCCCTGACATCTGCATCACTTATCAACTGCTCCTGCAGCGTAGCAGGCTAGTCAACCCCATGACAGCTGCTGAAAAGATGAATACAAATTCTACAACCGCAGAAGAGATGGATGGAATTATCCAGGCTGCTTTCTGAAAGCTGTTTCTGAACTAGAACCTTTAGGATTTATAAAGTCTAAACAGAAGACATGGTCATGTGACAAGGCTAACGTGGGGAGACTGAAGGAGACCAGTCGTATTTATATATCACTAGAGGAGAAATGTGTCATCCTCCCTTCTGTGATATTTAGCCAGAAAGTACACTGCTAATCCCAAACAGGTTTGTATCACAAAACCC